TAGTGACCACCTGCCTTACAGTGAACACTTTTAGACCACATTCAAACTGTGCTAGTGGCCACCTGCCTACAGTGAACACTTTTAGACCACATTCAAACCTGTGTTAGTGGCCACCTGCCTACAGTGAACACTTTTAGACCACATTCAAACCTGTGCTAGTGGCCACCTGCCTACAGTGAACACTTTTAGACCACATTCAAACCTGTGCTCGTGGCCACCTGCCTACAGTGAACACTTAATAGACCACATTCAAACCTGTGCTAGTGGCCACCTGCCTACAGTGAACACTTTTAGACCACATTTTTAGCAATATTTTTTGCTGATTTACCTTTGTTGAACAGTTTCTAATTTCTAAGTCAAATTTATTTGATTTGTTCAACTTTCCTGACACATTGTTTCATTATCTTGAGTTGAAAAAAGTAATCTTCCAATTCAACCAGTCATGTTTTGTTTTGTTTTCTTATTTTATTAACTCTGTATTCCATATAAAGTAATATTACATTATGATGTATCTCCAAAATTTGGTCTGTGCAATTTTGTTTATCACTTATGAGTGTGTGAAGCATTACACAATCTATTCACTAAGTATCAGCATTTTTTAAAAACTGTTATAAAATTGATTGATCAGCATGCTTTCACAGAACTATGTCACTTTGACATCACAGCCATGTTTTTTTACTAGACTTTGCAACTTATAAGAATGGTCATCATTCTAAATTAAAGAAAATTTATATGAGGTGACCATATCTGCCAGCATTGCCATTTCTGTTGTCAACTATATCCTTGTGGTTACAATAAAATATCAATTTGATTTCATAATATACTACTAGTATATAGTAACTCGATGAATTTTACAGGTATATTTTTTGAGATGCTGGCATGATTTAATTTGATTATATATGTATGTTTTTTTTAACTTTATGTATTCTTTACTTATCAGATCTAAATTATCAAGAAGAAGAGCCACCCAAGTCAAGATTTAATATTTACAAAAACCGAAACTGACATGACTTCCTCTATGAATTCGGACTGACGATATTGTTGTAATATATATAGCATAGATCAGCTCTGTGTAACTTGTATTTATGACAGATCTGAAACCTTTTAAGAAATTTTAAAACTAGTATACAGAAGGATTGTTTTCCCTGTACTTTAGTTATGTAAACTAATACTCCCTGTGATATTTGATGTTTAAATTACACTGAATCACATATTTTTCTTGAAGATACCAATTCATATCATATTGTTATTTTCTTGTTGTGTACTTAAGGCAAACCAAAATAGATAATTTTAACATGAAAAATGTGCAAGAAACACTCAAGTATTCTTCCTGATAAATAACAACTAAAACTTCTTACTATCTCTCGATGCTCAATCGCCAAGAATTCGCTGAATATGTATAAATTTTCATTTCGAATTGGATTTTGTTTTACCGACTTGCCTGGGAGTATACTCTAAATGTGTACATGTTGTGCTTACACATGAAACGTATGTATGTGGTGTTGACCTATTAACAGTATTATGTAATCTTATAAAGTTGTTTGTGTTTCTTCTTCTTGATTGTTAGGAGAGAGTTCACTGTTAGCAGAATGTGTTGATAAATGTACAGACAAAGTTTAGTTTAATATTTATACTCCTCTCAATTCCATCATTTTGCATGTAGTAGTTGTTTTTTTTCAAAATTCACATTATGTGCATTCACTGAGCTTGAAATATCACAAATATAGTTATAATTATCACTAATTGCCTAATATAAGTACTGAGCTAGGGAGGTCTGTTATGTTGATTCTAGTGACATATGCTGATTGGATGAATTTCTGTGTGTAACTACTTACTTATGCTAATTATGAACAAAAACATCTGCTGATTGGGTGAGGTTTTGTTTTAGACCATTTAGCTTGTTAGTATTTATTATGTTAATTGCCAAAATACACATCTAAACAGTGGTTCTGTTCAACAAATACCTAGGCTTTGTTCTTGATCATTTCGAGTCATGAAATTCTGTTTTAATACTATTAAGCTAAGTGGGCTTACTATTGTTATGTTAATCAGAATCACAATATTTGATTGGATGAATGTCTAACTAGAAATTTTTATATTTTGAGGAAAAAAAACTATTACATGATGGAATGAAAGTGACATAGCAGTTTTGGGATTGATTTCACTGATGCAAGGGGGGAGGGTATATGATTTACAACTTGATAGATAACTGATATTGATAAAAACTGCATCGTAAAAAGCAGGCAGTGTAGTTTCTGCAGTTGTTAGAAAAAATATATTCTAAATTGGTCATAGTTTTAGCTTGCTTGCTTTAAATTGGAGGGCTAGTCACCTTTGACTGCACAGGAATTGAGTCTTAATCGACGGTCTACGCTTAAAATGCAAAGGCTCATGGGTAGATGTTGGTTTGTAATCTGACACTCGTCTGTGTACCTCATTCACAGATGACAACTTTTCCGTTTTAAAGCATCCTAATCGTCATGTAGCGCACTCGAATTAGAGAAAGGTTGTATTTTAAACAGACCCAATATAAATGTGTCACAGCGAAATGACTGACGCTTTTAGTTTTATTGTAAGCTTGTCAGGTTTTTGATGTAAAAGTTTTTTATGGTAAGCGTACATATTTACCCCAGCAGTGAGTGCATTCAGTATCTTGGTGCTGTTTTGTGATAATGTTAAATTTTTAATATATGTTGTGCAATATACTGACTATACTATAAATATATATATATAAATATGCTCGCATTTCAATTTACTGACAAAATGTGTCAAGAAAATTCAGTTATTCCTGTTTCAATGATTTGTGCAGAGGAGGTGCAGAGTTTACCCAAAATGCATTGCAGCGCTAGAGCAGAATAATTTTATTATCGCAGTTACCTTTTTTCACATGTGAGTAATATTGTCAACTAACAAACAAACATATACCAGGGTAAGCAGCTCTTGCAATGTTCAGAATAATTAAAATGTGGATTGTTTTTATTTATTTAATTTATTTATTCTCACTA